AAGGAAATCAAACAGAAAGAGGAAGAAAAAAAAAACTATGAGGTCGAAGTTTGAGTGTTCAAAGCGAGGATCACAACAGAAAAAAATATTCACGGAAAAATGGCACTGACGATAAAAACTGGACACGATTAAAAGCAAGATGTCACATAAAAGTAGAAATCACTAACATAAAATAAGAGTCAAGCAGAAACTCACAACAAGTGGCCAGCTGCTCGAGCGACCTCTGGAGAATAACCGAATCAAAACCAAAGTCAACAAACTGAAGAAATAACGGAAATTAAATAGATGCAGTGATATCTGATAAACTTAGAGACACGCGAGCAGTAATGATACATGACATTGTTCGTTGAAATGAACAAGACATCAACATGAATAACTTTTTGTAAAGAAAAAGATGGTCCCTTAATAGGTCTAGAGCTTTTTTAGAACTACATCAGTCAAGTGCTGCAAATAAGCCTAACAGAGAACGTGTTGAAGAGGAGAGGCATGCGGGTCTGCTTTGTTTTGGTCTGTCAACACTTTTGTCATCAAATTTGCAGACATTTGCCCAATTCTTGCATCAAAATTTTGTAAACTTTCATTTTGGAAAAATTTAGTTCCTCTGCAATTAATCGCACTCTTTCGTCGATTATGTATAAACTGTCCAGCATGCAGTCCACTTTTCTCATTGCTTCGGTGGTGATAGGTCGACCCACCCGCCTCTGGTGCCCAACATCTTTTCTCCACTCCTTGAAGGCCTTATGCCAGTTAAAACACCATAGATCGACTCGAAACACTCATTGCCGTGTGCTGTCTTTAGCATTTCCAAAGTATCTGTCCTAGATTTTCCAAGTTTGATGCAAGATTTAATTGCGTAATGCTGTTCGGTAAAACGTTCTATTTTTTTTTTTTTTTTTCACGAGGCGTCACTCCTACAGGGATTCACTACTTCCACGATCCTCACGCTCAACTGCTTGTCAACAACTAGATCTGTTTGCAACGCTTAGCTAACACCCCTGTCCCTCAATCCAGCCAAACTGCACCAACCCCGGCACATGCGCGAAACTGCAGCGCTTGGCCATTTACTTTCAGGACAAACCCTGTATAAACATATCTTTTGAAATGTATTTTTATTCATTACGAATAAAAATTTTAAAAAAAACATAATATGGGTTCTGTATATTTAATAAAAGCGATGGAAAAAAATGAGCACGAAATTATTAAACAAGTTTGCTTGTATGGGAGCCGTACTTGAGTTCATATAGGAAAACTGAATCGATACACCAAAAAAAAAAAAAAAAACAACAACTGTGTAGTTCTTTCTATATGACATGTCCGGAGAGCAGTAAACATACAACTCTTAACTCAATAATTCACGGAGAGCCGGATACAGACCGTTTACCACAGTGTGCTTTTGGGAGGCATGAGAACTACATGGCACAGAATGTGTGAAACTAACAAGGAGACTCATTCATTCATTCAGTAGCATGTCCCTCGCGGAACCTCGCTGCCATAACAACCCTCCGGAAAACCTTCCTATCCTGAGCAAGATGTCCTGCGTCTGATACACCCATCTGGAAATCATCTGCCACATCCTGCACCCATCTTCTCCTTGGCCTTCCTCTTCCTCTCTTCCCAGGCATATACCCCTCCATTATTGTTCTCTCTAGACTTCCATGACGTTTCAAGTGACCAAAATATTTCAATTTTCTTTGTTTTATTGTCTTTACTAGCCAACCCTCTTCAATATTCAGCTCGTGAAGTATGGATGCATTTGTTCTTTTCTTTACCCACGATATTCTTAGAACCTGTCTGTAACATTCATATTCAAATGCATTTATGCGCTGTTCCGCTTGTTTAGTAAGTGTCCAGGTCTCACAGGCGTATGTTGCAATGGGAAAGATGCATGCTCTTAAAAATCTGGAACAAGGAGACTGCGTGTTAAAATTGCTTTTATGTTAAGAACATTTTATATTGGGATGACTGTTACCATTGAATATTTTTTTTTATTCGTATCTATTAATAGATTTGCAATCATGTTAATGCTTGTCTTTATTATTCTCCTTATCAATATCCCAGTGTAAAACGATCCGTGAGATCCTTTCCCCGTGATTACATCTCAATATATATATTATTTATGTCCCGTTTACACACATCTTTATTTCAAATCAAGACAACAGGAGCCCGTGTCTTCCTATCAATAATTCACTAAAGGGTTACAGAAGTGTAACAGAAACCCCTTTCAGCCTTAAGATCATATTCATGGCCCGGCTATATTCAGGGCCCAAGGCAAAAGCCAGGTTGGGTCTTAGGGTTTCTACTGGTAGTTTTTGTATTCCAGCTCCATTTGTTACCCATTTAAGTGCCACTTTGGTAATTCTCTGGTCGCTTCTTTTCGGAGTATGCTAAATATAGCACCGTCTTCTTTGGCTTATAGTTGTGACACTTCTTGTGTGCATTTCGTGGTCCCATATTAATAAGAGGGGGAGGGGAGGGGTAGACCCAATGCCCTTAATAAGCATGTCGTTGAAGGTGTCTAATTAAGGTCTCTCCTTCGTCATCAGAGTACGCCTTCCTGGGAAGCGATAAACCACAAGTCTACATGCAAAAACAACAGAAGCCAGATCTGTAAAACTCATGTGAAGGCAAACTCATGTTCTGGAATAAAACTAAAGAACAAAAGTGGAAAACAAAACAACCAAAACCTTTCACCGGAGTTTACAGCCGGTGAACCCGAATGATAACGTAAGGTGGTAATCCATATAACAGCACAGAAGAAGAAAGTGACGATTTTTAGTCCCCAGTTATGTATCTGCTATATTATCCTCACCAGATAATCCCATACATGCTAACATACTGAGCTGAAGTGCTTCATAAACTAATACATACTATAAACTAAATGAAACCTTGTATACATTTTGGACATTTTCTTTCACCCTTTTTAATGTCGCGACCCTTTATTACAGTTTCATCATGATGTAAAGACCCATTATTTTCCTTTATATTTTTTTAAGTATCCAGAAACCATGAGTTCTTAACCCTTTGGCTCGGTACTATGGAAATCGCAACCCTTCTATGATAGGTACCGCAAATCTGGGAGAAATGTGGCTTTTCTGCCTAGCCCCGGGTGTGAAACCCGGACCACAAGGAGTTCGTCACCCGTTCACCGCGCAGTCCGGTTTAGCCAACAGCGCTAGAGAGCCGGGCTCCTTTATAACTTCAATGAATATAGGTTTTTCAGTGGTCTACCTATGTGAAAGGGTCGTTCGAACCAAAAAAGGATTGCGACCCGCAGGTTGAGAACCCCACTTTTAGATGGATCACGTTGGCGGCAGTGACAAGTATTGCTGGCTCCAATGTTCTTGGGTCCAATTCGAATTTTCAAAATTGCTCTACTGTTTAAAAATGGTAGAAGGAAATGTCTTGGAAAGTAAAGTGACGGAAGAGATGGTGACTACAGCGTCCACTGAAAGCTAACAGGTCTACATCTACAAATTGAAGTCTAGCACATATGCCCAGTGTGAAAATGTCGTGAAAAGGATCCAGTACTTGTCTGTGTGAAAGACGCGCGCCGCGGATTGGAAGGTCGTGGGTTCGCTACCTGGCGGAGCCGGACTTTTCACAAATGACCTTGGCTCTCAGGTCGACCCAGCCTTGAGTGGGTACCGTTTGCAGTCCCGGTAAGTAGAGGCGGCCGGCGTGATGCTGACCACATCACCCGTCTTGTGCCGTTGGTCTATAGAAAATAGGTCTAGCCCTATATGCCCTATACGCCTAAAGGCGGGGTAAGGGTCCTTTACTTTTACTTTACTTACTTGTCTGTATACTCCAGAGACGTTGTCAACATACACTGAAGTTGTATGCTAAATAATCGTGGTTGTAAACATGACCCGATTTAAATTTGATAGGGCCCTAATTTTTTGAAAACCTCAAGCCCCTACTCTTTTGGATTACACCAGCTAAAACGTGTAAATCCGGCAAGGAGGGATGGATGAGAGGAAGAGAACGACAAGTGTATAATCAGTGTGCTAAGGGAACAGTTAGCATCCACACTTTAACGTCATTTGCTGCGGGAGACGGATCATCTATGGGAATGCCCGGTGTGCTATGATGTCGATTCTTAAACCAGTAATCAGTATACATAGGCTAAATTCAAGAAACGTTAAAATCATGTTGATTATGTAAGAGTTTTAAAATATAATATATCATAAAATGCTGATCATATCGGTGAGGAAAATATATTATCGTTTAATTATTAGTAAAAGAAGTCATAAATAATGTATCTGCACAGTGAAATTAATTATATTATATAATCCTCCTAAAGGCTCTTTTTTTTTTTTTTCAAACAAGGTTGCATTTGTGAACAACAACAACAACAACAAAATAATTTGTTGAGACTCCTACATATTGTGAGGTTCCAACTTACAGCTTAGGTGGTGTGGCCTAAATAGAGGACTAGTTGTTAAAGTGTATGAGAATCATTGATATTAACAAAGTGGATGACTACGTTTTTGATTATGAGTTAACCTGGGTCAAGAATTGACTTTACAGCATTTGTGGCATTCAAATATCCGCTCCTTCCCCATCTTCAGCAGCCAGCTCAGTGTTATAATACTACTGGTACCCTTCGTAGTATGGTTATATGTCTGCCTTGCCTTTCCTCTGAGTGTATTGAGCTGGCCAGACCCTCTGGTCACACCCAGGTGTATCATTCTGTCATGGCCAGAATAACATATTTTCTCTTCTGATTTCGTTGCTTATTCCCAAAACGGCTTTGACCACATTTGCCTGGACATGTAATAGTTCGCCATCCAGTGGTGCAGAACTTGCCAATCTGTCTGCCTGTTCATTCCCCCCCCCCCCCCTCCCCCACGCCGGAATAGAAAAGATCCAAAGTATGCTCACTACCAGAGCTACTTCTATTGATGATCTTAATGCACATGATGATTGTGATGGTGATGATGATGCCCATGCTATTTAGATGAAAAGTTTGATGATAATACATTACAAGTGTGTCTTACCCCAACCAATTAAGTAGAACAACATGAACGGGGCTTTCTCGTGACTAAGTGGCCTCATGACAAGGATCAGGTGAAGGTACAGACCCTCGACCAACATCCAATAGAAGTTGGCCACGTAGCTGAGCTGTTGCAATGTGACAAAAGCCCGACACAGCCATTTCTGCAACAGGCCATCAAACCAATACGATTACCAATACAAAAAATATGAAAGTGATTTTTTTTAAACTTGCCGCTAAATAGGGGCGACTGTTCTCACGCTAATACCAAGAAATTATTCCAGTGAACTATGACTAAAAAAGCTTAACGAAATGGGGAAGCAGAAGAAAACAGCACAACACAGCTCGGCGTTTCGGCCGGGGCCTTTTTCGGTGTGAACTAAACTACACAACAACACAAAAGGGGAAAGTACTACAACCACCAATTGGTCACGTGAGAAACTATTAAAAATGGCGATGAAGAATGAATTTACAAAAAAATAAGGAAGGCTTGTAAAATAGTCTTAAAAGTGATAGTGATGATACGTAATAATAAAAGTAGGAATTCAAGAGTAGTCAAATATACACATTGTAATTATTTATAACTTGTACTGATAAGAGGTAGAATAAAATAATCACATGAAATAAAAAAGGCATTAAAAAATACACTAAAATAATGTGACAATATTAAAACTTTTTAGATTAAGGTAAGCTGGACATTGATGCCTCCTAGACTTAGAGCACCTAGGCTATAGATGAGGCAATTTTCCAAAGCAAGGTGCGTGGTATGATCACCAGAGCAAATTTTATGGCTGTGACAGTTATATATCTTTGCTTCTGTGATCAGAGCCTTTAAAATGGACAGGGGTTTGTTAAAGTGTCTTCTTTTCAATATCAGAGAGATGTTCCCTGAACCGATCAGCTAGCTTCTTGCCGGTTTCCTAAATGAATGCTTTGCTGCATCTTTTGCAGATTATGGCATAAATTACGTTCCTGGATTCACAAGTAAATGGTTCCCTTAGTTGGAAGAAACTATAAGGGAAGCTGACCGATAAGGTCTGGACAACAATGGAGCATGTCCTGCGCGTGGTGCGGGAGCATTCCATAGTCCTAAAAGGAAGTGTGGATTGACTGGAGTGGGCGTCTGACGACTTTGTCTTTAAGGTCTCAGACAGATGTACTCTGACCTCAAAGGAAACATACAGAGGAAGTCGACTTTTACCATATGCTTGTTAACAGGCAGTAGCTATATTGCTTCAGGTAGCAAAGCGAAGGAAGGGGGTAGTGGGGGGTGGTTATAAGCAGGAATACATAAAAAATAGTAACAAAATAATCCAATAATGTAGGATTATTTAAACGGGATCCAGGGAAGCTTGAAGATCTCAGTGATGGGAAATGTAGTTTTCCTGCCGATCTGGCATTTATATGGTCGAATTACCTCAAACGCTAGGATCTTTGTGTATCTCAGCTCCACTATCGACCTGAAACTGGGTGCCAAAATATGTCTTTAAGGATAAACTATCAGAGTCATGAACCACATCATATTTTGAATCCTTCTGGGTCTTTGAATACGAAGATCAGTATACATTCACACATATTACTATTTACACGACTAGTTTTTTTTTACAGCTATGTGTTTGAGATGTTTAATAACGACGTCGATACTCACTGCAGATTTAAACCACAAGTTGTGTTTTAGCACCAGAGGTTCCAGTATTGTGAACACGATCAGAAATCGGAGTATAAAAGACGCAATCAAGTTTTTATGGATGCTGGTTCGATGACACTGGAGTGATCTGTGAGAATAAAACAATGCGCTATTTAACATATAGTTGTTCAGATGATACCTGCTGTGCAGAATTTGAATTCACAAACGGCGCATTGATTAAGATAATTATTCTGGAGCTATGGTAATTACTTCATCATAGAGGCGACATTGTTCCAGCAGCATGAATTATTGAAGACATTGTACTCGGTCATTCTGTTACCAGGTGGATGTGATCTCGTCTATTCTTCGGTTTCCCCTTACTCAATGTAACGGTCTGATCGCAGTGCAAATATAATTCTCAAGAGAGCTCTCATCATCATCATCATCATCATCATCATCATCATCATCATCATCATCATCATCATCATCATCAAGCTAGGACCGGAGCAGAATTTTGCTGTCGTCACGATACACTAGAAATTCACTCAATCCCTTGCTACCTGCCCCACTACCTGGGTACTTTCACAAGAAAGGCGTCCTTGACATTCGTTGCCCATTATTCTGTTGATCAGCCCTGACTCGTTTTCCATGAAATATTGCCGTCCCTCTCCGAACTATTATACGGTTTAATATGATGGACTCACCTCAGCTTCGAATCCAGTCTATAAAGTATTCTTCTTCTGCATAAGAAGAAGAATTTCATTATTTTGTTGTTGTTGTTGTTGTTTCCAGGATACGTTAGAAAATCTTACTGTAACATTGAAGTTCAGAAGCGATTGCAAATTAGTTCAGGACTCCCATTCGTAAGTTGCCACTTGAAGGACGCGTCTTCTGATGCTAAAGACACCTGGCTAGCTGAAAGCACTAGAACCAGATCCTGTTTTATTACCAATACTTTGAGGTGTCGTACCACGTAACAAATGATGTCCGTGGCTGAGGCGTTCCGAGTCAGACTCGTAATTCCAACTTACCACGATCAAAGCCCACTGCTGGCTGCGTGGATTTTTATCAAGGTATGGGGCGTCGCAGGTTGACCCAGCCTAAAATGGGTAACAGGATATATGTCCTGTGGAAGTAAAGACAGCAGGAGTAATGCTGACCACATTACCCACTTGGTGCCGAATGGTCTGAAAAAATATGAGTGCTCTTCCCATATGCCCGATGCGCCCAAAGGCGTTAAAAGGGATCTTTCCTTACTACGTAACGAAGTTTTAGACGCCATGTATGGTTGTCGTGCCACGTAACAGCGTTTTAGACGTCATGTATGATTGTCGTGCCAGGTAACAAAGTTTTTGACGCCATGTATGTTTAACGTTACAAGGATCGCCATGTTTCTACACAAATTTCAAGTTTCACTGTTAGCATTCGATAACCGCTGAGAGCTGACTTAGGCGGCTGTGTGTGTGTGTTTACAGACTGAAGACCAATCATACACTAAATAAAAGATGACAATTGTACGTCGCTTGTACTTTTGTAACAATATTGTTACTTAGACGGCTGTGTGTGTGTTTACAGACTGAAGACCAATCATACACTAAATAAAAGATGACAATTGTACGTCGCTTGTACTTTTGTAACAATATTGTTACTTAGGCGGCTGTGTGTGTGTTTACAGACTGAAGACCAATCATACACTAAATAAAAGGTGACAATTGTACGTGGCTTGTACTTTTGTAACAATATTGTACTGTTCATAATGTATATATGACTAATGAATTGAGAAAGCTAAATGTGAGTATGTGCGTGCGCGAGCGTAAGTAAGTGTATGTGTGTGTGTGTGTGTGTGTGTGTGTGTGTGTGTGTGTGTGTGTGTGTGTGTGAATGTGTGCATGCCTGTGTATGTTGTATGCATATGTATGTATGCTTGAACAATTTTATGTGTTACTGAATGTGTGTTTTATTTTAACGAAGTATTTAAGTTTGTTGTAAGTAATTTGTGTGTAAGTGTGTGAGTGTTTGTGTGTGTGTGTGTGTGTATGTGTGTTTGGTCGAAACGCTGATCTGAATGTGTAAGTGTTCCTATCGTTGAGCTTGCTAGTTATATTTCGTGTCCAATATCTTCTATCACATGTAAAGATTTGCTCCCCACCGGGACCTGTATTTTCTCCTCCTTTTATTTAGTGTACGCCCAACATAAAATGGAAGGCCTGTCTAGTTCTCACCCAAAAAAGGTTCTTCTTACATCTTTTCTTCTAGCTTGCCCAGTGTTTATGTCTCCTTTTTTGCGTGTAATATATATCGATTAGGATATTCTCATCCCTTATCTTTCTTTGCTTGTATGCAGTTGCCCAAAATGTGGAGAATTCTGGGGGCAGATTAGTTCGTAATCTTCCTATTCATTTTTTTGATGGGAATTGCAAACCTTGTGGAGGTCTTCTTCCCTAACTGCCTGGGTTATAAATGACTCCAACATTCTCAATTTATGTCATGACCAGGATCGTAAAGCTGTTTGCGGCTTCTATTTTTTTTTCCTTTCAATGTTCTTGCAATCTCGACACCAAAATACAGCCTTTTTTGGGGGGTTTTATTTCTATTTTTCGTTACACGTTACATCTGCTTCTTCCCCTAACCCTTCTCCGTCTCTGTCTTTCTCTCTTTCTCTGTCTCTGACTGTCTGCCTGGGTTTAGACTACTGTGTATAACTAACTACAGGGGCGGCGGCTGCAAAACAAATACATATCAGATGTCTTCCATTTAGTGTGCTCACGACTATCACTTTTAAAAATTAGAGAATTGGTAGTAACTATCGGCACAGTCAAGCACGAGAAGCAAACCGGACGCATACATAGTCAACTAGTGTATGACTGGCACTATTACCCGCGCAACGCCGATGAACATGTTGAAGGGAGAATCTGAGCACTTATTGATGTGTACCGAGTGTTGTGAAAATAATCCAACTCATAACTCATGCGCATGACCTCCTTTATTAGATTATAGTCATAAAGGGCGCAGACACAAAGTGAATACTGGCGATTAGATCTAACTGGATTGGGTTTGGTTACAATGAGTGGAATAGGTTCAAGGGACGTAGGCCTTGTTCAAATTAAACATTTTTTTAACCGTATTTTTTATAGCCCAAGCAGTGGCGTGGCTAGCCATATTATCTACAACCTTCTGTCTCGTGTACTTTTAATTATTCTGACACACATGATCTTCCAATCCACAATGTCAGGCTGTCCAACAGATTTTTTTTTTTTTTTTCGCAATCTCCTTCTGCTTCTTTTGAACTCTTAACTGTTCCACCGTCATAATGTACTGCAATTACCAACATTTCGTGACATGGCTGTCACGCGCCCACGTGGGTAAATACACTGATATAGTGAGGGTGTGGGTTTGAACCTTAACAATGCCCACCCACGTGAGAAACTGGACTATTATCTAAGCTATGTTGATCCTAGACAGTCCTGGATAGCCAAGAAAACAGCGAGTGGCTCGTTCCATGAAATGAAAGTTGCTGTACTTGTATCCACAGGAGTAGGAGAAGGGATAGATAGATATCTGGATACACCCACTATGATATAATCCAGGTGCTCATTTAACCCCTCCGACTGCTCTCCTCTCCTGGCATTACTTAAAAGCCCCCATCAAGTGATTTAAATATTTGTTAGCTGAAGTAAACTAATATGCACAAAGACACTTGAACCTAAGTACACAATTTACTCAACTATTTGGTAACCACATAAACATGATTTATTTAATAAATCTGACTAAAATAAAATGAACTTGTTTTAGCTAGTAGAGTTGAAGTGATGTTATAAATGACATTAAAGTTGTACATAACTTAGCTCCTAGTAGGAGGATTCACCGTCGGACAGTTTTCGGCTTGAGACCCTGCCTATCTTTCCCAGTTTGTCATCCTCACTGCTTTCAAGCAGGTCGTTACACTCAGACTGTCGGCAGAGAATGGATGCCTACTAGTCCCTGCCCAATGTGGGAACTGTGATAAAGAAACAAGCGCATATCTGTAGTATCTGCTTTAGATGTACACTAAGCATGTATATTATAAAAACATCAAACATGTTTATTTAAGTAAAACATTTCATCTCTCCCTCATGTTCACATTCACTCCTGTCCAATTTGGAAGGGCTTATGTCTCACATTCCAACTGTTACATCTTCTGCCTTCCTCTACACGAGTCCTGTAATGATAGTCAAGTCTTCTACGTCAGGTGCCATCTCTCGTACAGACTCAAAATGACAATCAGTCAGACAGAACCAGTTCTGGAATCTATGCTTGGAACAATAGACGCGCCCAGAATGCTAACAATAGTTCTGGGGCGAATCAAATAACAAATCTCGTGGATTTACTCTCCGGGATCAATCTCCGCATTAGCCTCCCGAGAGTTAAACACATTTCAGTGTAAGCTGTATGTAATACAGATTCACATTAACCACACGTGAAAAGATTGCCAGAGTTATCTTCACGCTTGTGATTTCAAAAACATGATAGTTCATTAAATTTCAATGGCAACAACAACATTTAGGTTTTACAACATTGAAACACATGTGCACGAAAAAACATTCATGACACTATCAAATAGGATATAAAGCAATGTGACAGTGCCCTACGAGAATGAAGAAATGTCCGCCTAGGAGTATTACAAAGTGATGAAGACACACACTTGAGCAAAAAGACAGTTAGATTTCTATCACAAAATATAGATTTGAACCTAATTTCGATCTTACCTGGAAAATGAAACCACGATGCCAAAAGTTCTGTCTCAAGCTTAGGTTAAGCCCAACAGATGGCATGTGCTTGACAGCGTCTCATTTACCAGACCTAGAGTTCACCACTTTATAACTCTAATTAAGCTCCTCCTTCATTACGCCTAAAATCATTCTCATTCAAGGATATCACAGCTCCTCCCTGTGGGTAAGTTTATTCGCTGTCAGTCAGGGCTGTACAACACTTGTTTAAATTCCCACGGTCACCTTCTGCAGGTTCAATTAAGCTGGTCAAAGCTAATAGGCCAAGTCACACCTCCAGTCTACTTCACCTGTCATCACAATAAAATCAGACTTTGTCAATTCTTCTGCCAAAACTTTCAGCTCACTGTGTCAATATTGACGATCTGACCGGCACTCCAGTTTAGGTAACCTCAGGGGGAGATAATGGCAATT